TCATAAAGTACCCGAGTAGTCTCTATGACCCGTTCCTCTGTGAGAATGGAGTAAATTTCCTGACACTCCACTGTCAACGCCACACTGCCAAAATCCCTTAAAAAAGTCTAGCGAGAAATATCGTGATGATCCACGAAGTCGGTCGAAAATTACTTCCAATATCGGCATTGGCCACACGATTTGTTCCACACATTCGTTAGGTCCTCTAACATCGACTGTCATACGATGGCTTCCAGCTTCAGGCTTGTTTACAACATGTGGAGGCGAACACCAGCGGCTGCGTGGGTTTCTGTAGCATAACCCAGCTGATATTAGAGCGTCAATGTGTGTCTTGAGAAATTCACGGTGCGTCTGAGAGTACCTTCTCGCTCGGCACCGCGCTGGCACGGCGCCAGGCTTGAGTGTCACCGCCATTGGTGGCATATCCACAGGTCTATCCCTTCCAATAATCAAGCGAAAGACGTCAATAAGCTCCATCAGTATGGCCTTCAAGCCTTCAACGAATTCAAGTGACGCTCCAAGACGCCGAGCTTCCTCGGCTTTCTCTAGTAGTATGCTTTTAATTAACCCGCGCTCTGTATCCATATCATCAGTAAAAGTAGGGAAACAGATCTGATCTTCATCTTCCTGCAAATTCAATTCTTCCTCTGCAGGTTCGACACGGTTCAACTGTCCTGAGTAAGCTAAAACACTCGCCATTCCACTCATTGTTTCTTCTGTCACATCACTCATATCCCAAACGGACTGCATCTGCTGTGCTACAGCCAGTAGCTTGTCGGAACTATACCCCAATCGCACCATAATCAAACGAGATAGCAGTAAATCTCCCACTCCAGGCGGAAGTGGTTGATCGGTCACCCAACAGATTACATTTTCCAGAACGAGAGGTCCACCAGGAGTTGAAAAACGTAGATCCAGTTTTACTTTGCTAGTTACTGGCACCGGCCTGTCCCCGACACCCGTAACTGCTGCTTTTCCAGGTAAGTCTTGCTGCGGAATCCAAGCCCCACTCACCGACAACCGCTTCAGTAGCTTAGTTGTCACCACAGACACTTCAGCAGCACTGTCGGGCGTAATCTCGGTCTCCACAGTACCCATAACGATACACGGTATAGCTGGTGATGCGGTAGTATTAACTTTGCCTG